TGTCCATCTTTATGGAAGGGGAATTGATATGAAAATCCAGCACCTAAAGCTGAAAATGAACTGGACATGTTTTAAAACGGTAAATTCTAAGGAACAGGAATTTTATTTGTTGACTGCACTCCAATACACTATTTTCAAATAGATTTCTGCTGAAGAATAATCATTGCACTGATACATTCTTTTTTATAAACATTCTTGATAGATAAGAATTTGCTGAAGAGACCTTTACTTTTAAAGTAAGAAGAAATGACATGTATGACATTGAATATCAATTTGTATGTATTTTATATATTGTGATGTTGAGATACTCTAAAATATTCATATTGGAAAAAAATAACTATGACTGTACCAAACAGCTCATGTATTCATTCATTCTTCATCGGTACTCAGTGACCCATGTTGCACTAGGTGCTTAATCCAGGAAAACTTGTAAATTCTTCTTCATTAATTATTTAGGATGAAATTGCAAGAAGAAATGACAATGAATTTAAATCATATTATAGTTACACTTTTCTTAAAAATTCTATTAATTTTTATATTCCACAATTATAGAATTAATTAATCCTTTCTACTTTTTTATAGACAAAAATATCCATTCTGCATATTTCTGTATTTAAAAAAAAAAGGCAAGCCATAAAGTGAGCACTTCAGCTATAAAATGCAGAGTGAAATTGATGTCTCCTTCTCTTATTCATTAAGGTAGTGTCACAGTTTTGTCCTCTGCCTTTCACAGAACAGTAACCTGGAGCAGTTTCAATGGGATTTTACTTTGGATGAAGTACAGAGCCACTCTTCTGCAAGAAGCTGTCAATTCTTCCTCCAAATCCTGCAGCCTGCCTCACTATTACTGTGGGGGAGACAATGCAATGTAATTCCTAGTCTCCCATGTCCCTTCAATATTAAGTCATTCCAGCTCTTCATTATCTAGATGAAGGCAGCCATCATTGATTGCATCAAGACTATGTTATAAAAAGCTTCCTGACTGAATCATGTCTGAGGCCCAATGCCTATTGCTTTTGTTCCACTTTCAGACATTTGGAAGATGCATTGAAGTGCTGATACATAACTAACACTCAAAACTTACTATGAATTACTGGATAAGGAAGAGCCATAGATGGATGATTCGTCACCAAAATCAAAATACTGAAAAAGTACTAATCACCTAGGAGAATGCTATGAATTAATACTGAAAACACAAAGTATTGTCAAGGATGTGGGCCAGTGGGTAAGTGGCTCACCCACTCATCACTCCTGGGGAGTCAGAATGGCATAGCCACTTTGGAAGATAGGTTGGCATTTTTTAAACTATATTAAATGTATATTTATTATGCAAACAATTGTGCTCTTGGTATTCACCAAAATAAATTGAAAACTTAAGCTTACACTAAACTTTTCGTATGAATATTTTTAGCAACTTTCTTCACAGATTTCAAAATTAGAAGTCCTTAATATCTTCTTTGGTAGAGGAACATGCTGTACATATTCATATAAAAAATATTAATGAGTGTTAAAGAAATAAACAGCCAAAAGGGAGCTTGGAATGTATGTTACTAAGCTACAGACATGAATAGGCTGGGAAAATCAAAATTAGACAGACAAGAAAGAGATCAATGAGTTCCAGAGGTTAGAGAGTCAGAGTTTAATCAATAGCCATGTCCTTTAAAACTAAATTTTTAACTGGCTATGCATTGTCATAAAAATAAACCTGTACCTGAACAAAACTCCAAATGGATCAAAAATCTTAATTTAAGATTGGAAACCTAAAAAAACATACATGTGGGCAATACATTCATAAACATAAAATAAAAATGTCCTAGAAACAAAATGCCTGTGAGTACATAAAAGAGAAACAAAACATATACATGCACGGGCATACATAAACCTGCTGACTCAAACCATTTCTCATTTTCCTAGAAAGATAACCTTAAGGTAAGCATTATTAACCCTCTTTCCCCTGGAATGTCATGATAGTATCTGTGGTTAACAATCTCACTAAGCCATCGTCCTAGCAGAGAAAAAGAATCCTCACCCCCAAAATCAAAGTGTTCTAAAAGCAGTGGTCTGTCCCTCTAGTTTCAGTTTCTAATATGGAAAGATCACTCAATCCCACCAGTTCGGATGAATCTCTTGATCTAGTCTCATGAAGAAAAAGCAAAAGAAAGGTGTAGCGGTAGATTGGGGGACAAAGGAAAAACAGAAGACACACTAGTAGAATGGCAAGGGCAATAAAGAGCCTCTGGGTCGCCTTGTTCTCCCCGAGTTTTAGCGATTTTTGTAGGTAAAACTGGCAACTGGCTTTAAAACATGCAGCATTCCTATAAAACATTTATTACAAGCATTCTAGATAAGTGTTCAAGGGATAAAAACTGAATGTAACCACTGTGTGTACACCATCTCCTTACGTATTAATTGGTGATGAAAAAACACTGTTGGTGTTTTTATCATGTCAGGATGTAAAAGACTTCTACATAAGGAGGGTTTTTTCTCTTTGTTGTTCTTTCCCTCCCTCCCTCCCTCCCTCCCTCCCTCCCTCTTTCTTTCTTTCTTTCTTTCTTTCTTTCTTTCTTTCTTTCTTTCTCTGTATAGCTTTGGTTGTCCTGGAACTCACTCTATAAACCAGGCTGGCCTTGAACTCACTGAGATTGGCCTGCTTCTTCCTCCTGAGTGCTTGAATTAAAGACATTCAACACCACTGTCCAGCCAGAAACTCTTAATTACAAAATAATAATATCATTGCAGCAGATATGAAAGAGTCTGAAGTTCTACCAAGATTATAAGAAAGAGCTGAGGGTGTGGCTCAGTGGTAAAGTGCTTGCCTAGAACACACAGGGTGCTGAGTTCAATTCCAACTCTGGAAGAAGGGGGGAGAAATAACTAAAAAGAAAGTAAATTAGTAAAGAAGCTGTCAGAGATAACTCCATCAAAAGTTTATAGAAGTTGGATTTTTTTTTCCTTTTTCAGTGAAGCTTTTGTTGTGGAAGTAGCTCAGTGATGAATTAGATCCCTGGGCTTAGCCTTCAGCAGAGCTTCACCCTATACTTTCTCTCTCTCTCTCTCTCTCTCTCTCTCTCTCTCTCTCTCTCTCTCTCTCTCTCTC